TTCTAAATCTTGACTACCACAGCTTTAACCATTTCCAAAGTTATAGCCAATTAAACTTAAAAAACACACATCAAAATGTTTTTCCTAAGATGTTTTCTAGCTGTTTCATCATCATCCACAACTTATTTAAATGTTTTCCAGTTTTGAGCAGCTCCTCCATTTCCTTTGTGCATTGCATTGTGGAAGAATAGTGTTCATCAACATTACACTCAAAAATCAACTGGATTTTGTCTTCCGTTTGTCTGCTTTGAGTGCACTTTACGTGGTATGGATTTGAGACAAAACTTTACAGTCTTACTCAAATACACTTAATTGTCATGGATCCACTGTTGCTGAAGGTGCCATTTATTTTATCAAAAACTCAAGTTGAATGTTTAGTGTTTGGTGTTACTTTGGCATACCCCCATTTTCTGACACTTTTACTCTTGTTTTACACACTGTTGCTGTTATAAATGGCCCACTCACTCATTTCCTTTGAAGCTTTAAACTGCATCACATGGCTTTCACCAGCATTTGCAATTTTTTTATTTTTTTTTGCACCTCTTGGACTTTCTTATGAATGTTGGCGTACAATCTCAGCTGACAGTTTCATTCCTGACCCTGGAAAGAGCATCATCGGCATCATTCATCATTTGTAAACGGCTTTTCCCAAGCTCAAAAGTTAACTGTCAACCCGAAGATTGTATTTAATTTAGGAGATGAAAGGCAGTTTATTTGTGATTATAGAGGCAAGGATGGCTTAAAATGTTGTGGACCCCGACCCCGGTTAATCACGCAGTAACTTCTGGGGTTTGAGGGTTACACAGTATTATAACCAGGAGAGACTTCATCTGAATGAAAGAAATGGGACTGGATCTGATAAGCGGGAGACAAATGGGTTGGAGTAGGGCTGCAGCGATTTCGGACTGAAATGACAGCAGCAGAGAAGAACAGATTAAAATTTTTTATTGTGACCGCAATATTGGCTGTGATGATTGTGGCAAAATCTGATTGGTAAACTAAAGCGTGAACACCATAGTCAGCTGATTACAGAGCAGGAAGAGAGAGAGAAAGAGAGGGTTGTGAATGAATGAGGCATAAAGATAGTCTTCTTGGTTGAACTTACACTGAGCTACTGTAGTTCAAAATCAAGTTCAGCCTGTTAGAAAGAGTAACAGGATTTTTGGCTGCAGTAATAGGGATTAAAACTGTAACATCTGTGTTTCAGGACAGGATCTCAGACCACAGAGCCCACTACACTCACAGCAGGCAGAAAAGCAGTGAAGCCAGGGCTATACTGAAGAGACATTATGAATGAATCACTGTCTTGTCTCTCTGGTGAAGGCTGCTGATAGTTGAAATAGTGTCTATTATTTATGGCTGCAGGAGCAACACAGAGACTCCCGACCTCTGAACGGCAGCTCGTTTGTGGATGAGGCTAGTAGAGAAGAAGAGGGCGTTTTGGATGCACGTGTGAATGTTGCATGTTTGCCTGAAAAATTGCCTTGGAGAAAACAGGATTAAAGAGTCAGACAGTCCAGCAAGAAGTGGGTGAAAGCATGACAGCCAGGCAGGAAGTCATATTTAACCCCACTCAATGGCTGAGTCATAGCTTAGTCTCTGCTGGGTGGCTGCAGATGTTCCAGCCCAAACACTCTTATGTATTCATGCACAGAGGGGAATAGCAATTAAATGGCACTCAGTGGATGAACTAAAGAGAAAATAGTCAATAGTCACAGGAGGAATGACTGAGGCGAATAGGCTGTTGGAGAGATAAAGAGATTAACAGACAGGTGGAAAAAGCAGAAGAAAACATGCGGAAAGATCCCCTCAAAAGCAGCAGCAAGGGTTTTTTAAAACACAAAAAACATAAAGTGACCACGATTCATCAACCAGGGTTGATGGGATTCAATTAAATCAGTGATTTAATGGTTGTCTTGCCAGGAAATTAGATTTCTGGCTTCCAAAATTAATTTTGTGCAACAACTCATCAGTGTCAAGACCCTCCCAGTCCTCCTAACTTTGCCCATTAATTTGGTGATTTACAGGTCAAAAGACTTCTACATGTCTGGATTGAAACTAGACTCAGACAGCAATTCAGTCACTGTGTTTCATGCACAAGCAGGTCGAAATGGCATGTACCTCTGTGTGTATATTGTGTAGGCTGCCTCCCTCCCCTCTCTCTCTCCTTACATCCCTCTCTCTCTCTCTCTCTCTCTCTTTCTCTCTCTCTCTCTCTTTCACTCTCTTCTCTCTCTCTTTTCTCTCTCTCTCTCTCTCTCACCCCAACCGGTCGAGGCAGATGGCCGCCCACCCTGAGCCATGGTTCTGCTCGAGGTTTCTGCCTCTTAAAAGGAAGTTTTTCCTTGCCTCTGTCGCCTAGTGCTTGCTCTTGGTGGGAACTGTTGGGCTTCTGTAAATGGCATCACAGAGTACGGTCTAGACCTGCTCTTTTATGAAAAGCGCTGTGAGATAACTGTTGTTGTGATTTGGCGCTATATAAATAAAATTGAATTGAATTGAATTGAATGTAGAAAAATAGTAGAAATAGTAGCCATGTGATTGGGTGTGGGCTATACTGTGGAAAAAGTTTAATCCAAATCACTAGACCGAAGTCTTGACTAAAGACTTTCATCCATACGGATTCTCCTCATACAATAGGTGTCGTCACCTCACAGGGATAAATACTGGTACTATTGACCACAAATAACATAGGAACGTCTGCACAACACAAACCCAGAGTAATGAACATGTAAATATCTGCCACGTTGTCTTTCTCTACACATAGTTGTATTTGTTGTGTTATTCTCTATTCTTTTATTATTTATTATCCTTTTATAACTTGCGTTTTTTTATTACGTATTTATATATTTCTACATTATTTATGTAAACTGTATGTTTGTCTACGTAAAGCACCTTATGTCCAAAGCAAATTCCTCATACGTGTAAAAAAAAAAAAACTTCTTGGCAATAAAGCTCTTTCTAATTCTGATTCTGGAAGCCTTTCGGATGAAGTTACAGTATTTTCAAAGTGACTAGTTCCTTGCCATACATTGTTAGTAATAACTACCTTACTTAATTAGTATTAATCTATTTATTGTTTAAGTAAGTCAGAGTACTTTTAACTTACCCAAAAACTGAACAGCAAAAGGCTAATACACTTCCTAAAATATCACTGCCCTATCAGTGATGTCACCACGGGTAAGTGCAAAAGGCAATATATCTACTGTTAGATCACTGAGTAGAAACACAGACTGTGCTTTGATTTTAGTTTTCCATTCACCATCTTGTTGGTTTATGGTTTGCAAAACAAGCAGTTATTGAATTCGACAACACAATGCTTGATTTATGAAGAAACAAAAAGGCTGGAAATCTGTATTTTGCTTACTGAGACCCCTTAAAGTCAGTGCTTGTACAATAAATACTGTATTGTTCTTTTAACTGAGTTTGTTTTGGCACTGCTGGCATAATGCCAGTATACCTTTTCATCGATCCAACTTCATTTAATTCATTTTCTGTTTTGCCTCATTGATTTTGTTTGTGTGTGTGATTCTTGTCTGTCTGATTTAACATCCCGGTCTTCTCTCACCGAGGAAAGCAAAACTTCACTGAATGGCATAATTTTGTTGTGGGAGATAAATCTTAGCAGTAGATTGCATCCAAAATGATTCCTTGCTATAAAACAAGGCTGATGGCTTAATAGAAGTCTGACTGAGTTATGCAGCCGGGTGACTGCATGTCATTGAGGCAATCAGGTAGGGACCTGCTGCCTCCAATGACTCATTGGATTACTGTCAGCCTAGACCAGACATCAGGAGGACAGGAAGTACAACAGAACAGCAGGTTTCTCAGCATCATCTGCTGTAAGTCACTATAGATAAAAAGTGGAACATAAACATGTAGGTTTATGGTGACAGAAAAAAGAAAATGAGGCTGTTCAAGCTTGTAGTTACATCTGTTTAATGTACTCCTTGTTATCTCCACATGAGGTGAAGTCTTGTAAGACAAAAACCTGCTCATTTAAACAAATTTGTGGAATGTAAAGAGCATCAGTGCCTCAAATGCTCAGCGATCAGGTAAACAGGATATCCATGAATCAACAATGCACAGAGCACGCTCACGTTCTCCTACCCTGTGTGACGATTTAAACCCAACTACTGGCCCCGGAAAGAATTGCATAAGGCTGCCCTCATGTTCAGAGTTCATTGTTAAATCTGGCTCACAAATATATTAGTTTTATGTTTTTGATGGGGGTTGTATTTTAGAGTAAATTTTTATTTCACATTTCAAGAGAACAACCTGGCTAGTGTCCTCCAGGTAATTTGAGTTTGGACATCTGAATTAAACACTGACGAGGTTGGTGAATCCGGCTAAGTGAGTAGCAGTTTGTATTTCACATGCATCTTGATGAATACTAGATTGCACAGATGTGTCTGTGTTTAGAGGGCATCATCCCTTTTTTAATGACGGCAATTTAACAGTGATTAAAAAAAAAAAACAGCAAAGTGAAAGTAACCGTAAATGATTCTTTTTTTTTATATAATGATTGTTGTGAAACAGATGAGATTGACAAGACTATGTTGTAATAGTACAACTAATGATGAGAAAATGCACATTTTGTTTAATTTAATATTAAATGTGAGAGAAAATCTTTCTTACTGAACTTTCCCCAAACATTCATATCAACAATTTTCTAGGAATCATCAATTACTTTGATTTAATCCACACTACTGCATGCTTTTTTACCCGAGTGAGAGAAGCTATTGAGTCTAATAAAAACAGTAAATCATATTTGTCTTGACCATCTTAACAGATACGAGTTGAAAATGCTGCACCCTTTCAGGTGATGCTCATGGAATCAAATTTGTCTTTAAAGATCTCTATCTCTAAAGAGTCATAATCTAATACTTTACTGCCACGTCAACAACATGGATTTACTGTGTTATTAAATTTACTGTGTCACGTAAAATTACTCTCCTCTTCCTCTCGCTGACCCCCCTGTTCCCCTGTTTCTCCTCCAGGTGAAGGGGGAGGAGGGAAATTCCACGGTGTCGACCTCCTCCAGCACTCCCCATCCCCATCCCCCTCTCCAGGGGACCCCTTCCCCCACCAGCCACGCTCCCTAGAACCTGTCACGGACACCTTCCACCAGAACCTCCCCCTGAGGAAGACACACTCTGACCTCGACACAACCTTACCTGCAGGTGTGTGTAACCATTAGGGGAAGTGCTTACTCTCCTCCCATGTTTTTCTTCTCCGTTTCTTCTTTCTTGCGTCCCTGTGGTGCGGATCTCCTTACTGCTCACACAAACTGTGCACCGCCTTCAGCCAAAAACAGAAAAAAAGGAAAAGAAAGGAACAGGTCACTACAAAATGAAATCTCTCTACTCATTAACTACTAACCCCAATGTCAGCTGAAATTCTGTCGGTGTTAAAAAACCTTTAACTTTTGTTCTTTTGGCTACAGAAACTCATATGTTTATACACCTGAAGAAGGTGTTTGCAGAAATTTCATTGACATAACATCTTAACCATTTGTCTTTCTTTTTGTCACCTACCAAATTATGAATTTTAAAAAGAACACAGTATAGATTAATGTTGGTTCAATCATTTCTTTCCCCTGTATTTTCAGTAATCTGTTTTGCTCAGTGAACGACGGTGTTGCCGGCAGCCAGGATCTTTTCATACCTAATTGGTTTATTCACTGTAACAGGGATACTCAATAGCAGGGTATGACGGTTTCGCGTAAACAGTTTAACCTGAATAAGGCCTTAATTGTAGACAGCCGAGATCAAGCAGAACATCCAAACTTAGCATGTACCTTATTTTGAGTACTGATTCACTGCAGACCTTTGCAAAAATGTCAGTGTTAGTATATAATGTAATGCACACTTGTGAGGAAGGTGTGTAGGAGAATAAAATACATCTTTATACAATATCTACCCCCTGCAACAACCGATTACAAAAAACGCCCAAGACAACTAGACATTCAATTATTAATCCAAATGCAATCAAAATACAGAAACAAAAGGACCAACATTCACATCTTGTCCTGAAGATTTGTTCAGAACTGTTTTTCAGTTCCTTACGGAGAACAGATACAAGTTAGCTGGCAACCAGCGATGGTGGAGTATACAGTATCTAAAGGACTTATTGTTGTTGAAGTAAGCAAGAAAGTGAACTTCATGCTTCCAAGCCCGATACACAATTATTATGTTTATATTAAACATTTGTTAAAAAGTCAAATTGTTTTTTTAATGGGCTGCTATTAGCTGTGGGGATGTTTATATCTTCACATGTCTTGATTTGGGTTTAATGATCAATTGAGTTTGTTTTAATCACTTTAATAAATTCTCAGTCTTCCCTGTCTTTCTCAGACAACACTTTGGAGCACAGTGCCCGAGACGAACTTCACCCAGGAACTATGGACCACTCTGGACTGCTGTGCTCAAACACACCCTCCACTTCCTGGAACGGACCAAAGGGCTCTACCTTTTCTCCCGGAGCGTGGAATGAGCCTTACAATTACAGCATGAACAAAGGCCCAGCAGTTCCGCCCAAACAGCACAGCATCATCGGTAATGCAGGGGGAGGGACGCAGGACGGGTTGATGTTGGTGAGCTCAGGACAGTCGGTGAGCTCACATTCCAGTTCATTCACATCTGTGACAAACCTTTCTGGGAGAGGAGGGAATAACATTCCTGGGATTTCACTGGCAGCGGCAATGATGGGGAAGAGGAGCGAGACAGAAGGGGCTGCAGCGGATGGAGGAAGAGGAGGTGGAGGAGGGGGGGTAGGGGAGGCAGGAAGAGGACGGGAACGGTCGGCACGTTCCATAGCAGCGGCAAACGCCTTCAAGTTCCGGGAGCGTTCCCTTTCTACCCCCACAGATACTGGTTCCTTCTGCTTTACAGAAGGTGGTATAGGGCCACCAGATGGGAATGCCATGTCTACAGGGAACGGGAATTCTATGGCAATAACAGACCACCACCAACAACAGCATAACTTCCTAGGTTTGGGTGAGAACTACGCCCTCCTCTACCCTAGAGGGAGCTCTGAAGACAGTGCCAGTACCACAGACACGATCTCTGTCACAGCTTCAGACTACAGTGCAGATGGCCGCTTGCGCCTACGCTCACGCTCCATCTCGCTTAAAAAATCCAAGCGCAAGCCGCCCCCTCCTGTGAGGAGCGTCTCTCTCATGAAGAACCTTGGAGAAGCCGAGGGGAGAATCCACCGTGAAGGCGGTCTTTATCGGGATGGCCGGCCCAAGAGCTTGCATATCCCCAGGGACCACTTCCCAGACTTCCAGCCTGATTTCCTACTGCCCAGCTCGTCCTGCTCCTCTAAACCCAATGTTGGTGAGCAGGAGCTGGGTCATGGAGGCACTAATGGACCTCCGAGCCTGGAGGTCCAGGCACCAGAGAGGGAGGTAGAGACAGAGCTGACCTTCCCCACTCACTGGCAGCTGGGGGAGTGGAAGAATGACCCTTACAGGTAGAAAATGAAACTACTCTTTATGTTAAAAGCTTATTTGCTTGACTCAGTGAAAGTCTGCCTTTTATGTTTATTTGTTATTCTCCAAGTTTGTATGGTAATGATTAGAAATGCATTGAGTTCTCTTCTCTTTTCTTCTTTTCTCTTCTCATCTCCAGGTCTCTATCGGGCTCCAGCACAGCAACAGGCACCACAGTGATTGAATGTATGAAAGTCAGAGGCAGCTCAGAGTCTCTGCTTGATTCTCCCTCCACCTCCAGGGCCACCTCTCCCTCACAGCTCTCCATGGAAACTGACATCAAGGCATCTTCGCCCTTCAAACCCCCAGGACTTATGTCCCCATCAAGTGGTTATTCCAGCCAATCAGAGACTCCCACCCCAACTGTTCCACTCAGTCAAATGGCATGTCATGGAACAACAGGGACATTAGGGTGTAAGTTGCGCCCGAAGATCCCAGAAAGGAAATCATCGCTACCATCACCAAAGGATCCGGCTGCGAGGTCTAGATTGTCCTTTGAGATGCCTGGGAATGCACATCTGGAGCTGTCATCAATCAAGCCAAAGCAAAAGGCCAGTAGACGGCATTCTGACACCTCAACAGCTGCAAAACCAGGAAAAATCAGCCCCAGCTCTTCACAGGCATTGCCTGTGGTTACTCAGAATGAGCTGAAGACTGTTCGGCTTCGCTCTGTCTCCCGTGGTGACTTGGAGGACTGCCCTGATGGGGCATCTGACACCATCGAAGAAGAACAGCATGGCCGAGACCTAGGCGAGGACCCTAGCCCACCACCCACCCTACCAAAACCCAAACCACCTGTCGCTGTCAAGCCCCCATTGCCTAAGCGGCCCCTAAACCTCCTCATCAAGTCTCCTTCCCCCGCCTCCACATCCCCCCTAGCCCTTGACTCACCTCCTGCCTCACCTGTGGACCGGCCTGTACCCCTAGGCAACATCTACAAAGTCATGAAAAAACCCAAACCCAAAAAACCTCCACCACAAACTTCAGGTCCCTCTGCTTTCCCTGATTCTACCATTGCTCCACAAACTGCCTATGATCATCCATTCCTCCCCCACTCCCTCTTTGATCTCCCTCCTCTTCCAGAACCGCAGCCTCTCCTGGAAGACCCAGCAATGGAGCCTGAATTTGACACAGACCCAGAGATCCGTCTTGGTCCGGAGGACGGAGGCTCACTCCCCTCTCCATGCAGTAACCAGGAGGCCCCAGAGCTCCAGGACAAGAGCAAGACACTCCCCTCAAGGTTGACAATCTCATGTCTGGCAGAGCTGTCGGACAAAAAGAAACCCAAGGTGAGTTAAGACATCGTCAGAAAATGCTTTATTTTAGGAGTGTCCTTGCGCCTTGGTGGCAAACAATGTAGAAATACAGTTCATGTCCTAATGTTGAATTGTTGTTTGAGAATTATTGCTGTACTGATTTGATTTTAAAAACGTTCTCATTTCTTTGCAGGTTCCACCTCCAGTACCCAAGAAGCCGAATGTCCTCCTTCTTCCCTCATCAGTCCACTCCTCCACCAATGGCAGCACAGAACGTCAGACGCCACAGACCGACAGCCCTGTGGGTCTTCGGTCTCCTGTTGGAGCATTCTCACTAGAAGAGTTTCCCAGTACTCCTAGTGCTCCTGATGTGCCAGAGCAAGATGAAAACCACATGGGAACAGACGAGGAGAGTTCAAAAGAGTCATCACTTCAGTCTTCTCTGCAGGATTCCTCCCTCACAGAGCTGGGTGAGAAAATGACCTGCGCGGGGATTGGGGAAGGTATGTTTTAGGAGGGTATTTAGAAAGTAAGTCTGAATCTTTTTCTGCATCAGGCACGACATTCCATGTTTTTTAGGCATTTGTCTGCACATGCTCGTGCTCTGGCTCCATCACACAATTAAACTGTAACTCTAAACTTTATTTAAACATTTCAATAGACACTAACAAAGCTGAAGAAACATTAAAAAGGTGTGACCCACAGAAAGTCTATGTTTTTAATTCTTACCTGTAGGCTTGAAATGCTAAGTGTGTTACAAACCCGTCACATTTATGAATGCCAAATAAGGCTGACAGCAGCACATTTACATTTGACATTCATGTAAGTGTAGTTGCATGCGACAAAGGTAAACAGCTAACTGGGCTAGGGTCAAATGGAAATTGCATTTAGCTGTATTTTGTAAAAAAAAACAAGTATACTTTTTCAGTGGGGTATTTTTTAAATGCAAGTACTTCATCAGAAAATAAGTGATTTAATCCATTCTTACAAAGTCTTCCTAAAAAAGCTTTCCTTTACATATTTTACATGCAGCATATTAAGGTCTTTGCAAGCTAGCCGTGACTTAACTTTGGTAACTTCTGTGGTGTTGTACTGTGCCGTTCTACTTTAAATGCTAGATGTGCACTTGCACATTAATCAGAATTGTCAAGACATGGTTGTGTATTTAGAGGCCATGTACAATGAGAGCCTAAAACAAAGCCATAGAGCCACTATGGAGCAGTCTAAAGGAAATCAACTTTAACATTCCTGCAGCATTTGCTAACACATATTAGCCGATAAATACTGTTTGATATGTGGCTTGTTTTGACAGAAGCTGTGGAACTCCTAACCTTTGTCTCATCATTTGATATTCATGTGTTTAATGGTAGCCTGTCAGAGTTGCTACACTTGATTAGGATCCTTCCCTGCTGTGTTTGATGCATAACCTCCTGATTCTGCTAGGGGAGATTTCTTGGGTTTTGAAGCAAATCAAGCCTAATTGCTGTAAAATTGGACCAAATCAAAACACACAGTGGTCCCCACTGTTTGTAACAGTGAATATGACATTTATCATTATTATCTAATTATTACCTGATTCTGTATGTAATTGAGTCAGATATTCTTTACTTGCAAGGGACATACATGTGTAGAAATGATACAGATATGATGAAATACATTTTAATGTGGTGTTTTGATATGATTTCTATGCTCAGATGACTCTGCAGCCAATGAGAAGACGGTACTCCACATTGCAGAGGAAACAGATGATGACTTGTTGCCCAGCACACCTGCAACACACACCACCGAAGACCTGTTCACTATTATTCACAGGTTTGAACATGGACACACAAAATTCCTATTCACATTTCAGACATACTATAACATGCTTAAAGACTTAAAAGGCTCTTGGAAAGGTTAAAAAAGGGCAGTCTGTTTTGACATAATACACTTATTGTCACATCACAAATGGTTTCAGCCAAGACCAAACTTGCCTGCTGGCAATAACAGTATAACCCAGAGCATGTGATGAAAGATGCATTGTCTCGTTGAAAAGGTGTGAGGGAGACAGAGCATAAGGTTCCCTAGCAACGGCTACATGTATATTGGTTTACTGCACGACCAGCAGCTCTTATTTTGTCCTTTTTTCTGAATCTCCGTTTCTCTCTTTCTCTCTCACACACACACACACACACACACACAGAAAATCACAAGAAAGCTAGTCTCTAAGCAACAAGTGTTCATGATTTTACCTTGCATGATGCTGAAAATAACTTGAAAGGCAGAGGAGAAAAGGTGAGGAGGGGAAATAGAAGAACAGGAGTCAATGTTTTCATCACTTACAAGAAAGGACAAGGAGGAAGGAGTCCCTTCTGTAGCTACACATTTTAGATTGTTTTATTATCTAAAAGGAGAGGTGTCAATCTAAGTGTGACTCATCTTGTTTGAGGAATACATTTCTAATTATGAATTGAAACAACTGGGGAATTTAAATCAGCTTCTTTATCTTTATCCCATTCCCCACCTTTGTTAATAATATCTTCTTTTCGCCTAGATCCAAACGAAAGGTTCTCGGTCGAAAGGAGCCGACGGACTCCTTCGGCAGCCGCCAGAGCCTGGTGTCCCCAGTGAAGCACAGCACCAGCGGTAGCGACCTCCGCAATCTGACCTTAGGCAGCAGTCAGAGGTCGAGCTCCCGCAATGAAAACTTCATGGCCCTGCTTCAGAAGAAAGGCAGCAAGTCTTCCAGCGGAGGGGCTAGAGTCTCCGCTATGGAGCTTCTCAAAAGCACAAACCCTCTGGCGCGACGGGTCACAGAGTTTTCAACCACCATGTCGACATCCGGCGAGGGAGGAGACTTGGCATCCGGAAATGGCAAACCCAACGATCAATGAACGGAAGTATTGTTAACGGATGTTTACCAGGTCCGTTTGCTGTTGACAAAGCTACCAACCAATTCTACAACGTGCCACCCACTGCAGATGGGGCCTTCTGACTAACATGTCCAAGTGGATCGCTCCAACTACTGATTGACCATTTGCACTGTCCAGTCAAATTTGAGCTAATTTTTGGACAAAATGGTCCCTCCCATGTTTGAAGCGCAATTGTTCCCTGTCAAACCGGTCCCTCTAAGAAAGAGTGAAATCTGTGGGGAGCAAAGTTTGTTCTCTCTATATTTTCATTGAAAGGTAGAGGTTTTAAGATTATGGTTCAACACTGCATCGTGTTTTGCTCATTGGGGATATGCTCAGTGTGGAGGCTGGATGGATGAATAGATGGACGGGTGGAGTCTAGACTTGGAATATAAGGATATACAGTGGATATCTTTACTCCTGGCTCCTTCTGGATGAAGACAACAAAACTCCCTGATGACCACGATGGTCAGTGTATATGAATCTGTACTCATGGTGATCCACTAGGATACCATGGAGGATCACTAATCAAATGTTTGCAAGAAGTAATGGAATAAAATACAGAAGATGTGAGACTTCAAATGATTCGTCTATGATTCAACCAAAACCCTCCAACCACCCCTCCACCACTACAGCACCGATACCTGTAGACATACATGACTTGAAGGGTGAATCTTTAATGGTGTCATGAGGCACCTAAGAAAGAAAACATGCCAAACACCTTGGACATAACAATTGTCTTCTCTCAATGGTAAATGCAATGCCATAGCATTTTCAGAAAACAGAACAGTCTGATCTGAGCGGACAAACCGCAGGATTTACAAAGAGAAACCACATGTGGGCTTTTTGCCATCAAAGATGAGGCATGACCATGTCACAGATTTTGTTGCTCATGCTATGAACATGAACCTTTTACAAAACATTCCACAGAAGCACCCAGCAAACGGACGACATTTTGAAATGCAAGCACTTTTCGTTTTCCTTGGCGTCGGAGGTTGTTTACATGGCGCAGCCTTTGCGTCGCTATATTTTTTTCTTGAGACACTCATCAATCATTATTTTTTCAGTCTTTGATTAGAATTTCTTTTTTTCTTATATTTTTTTCCTACACATGCTAGATGGCCATATACTGTACATGTTAAATTGGACTGTACTGTATGTATCCTGTACAAAGATAAATGTAATGCATCTATCAGTGAATATCATTTGCGGACACGAAGACTAAAAATAGTGTACAGAGCAGCAAGCAGCTTGGACTACAAACTGCCCACAAGATGGAGGGAAAAACACACACTCAAACACAGACACACACACACACACACGGACACTAAGGAGTAATGCAATGGAAGACAAGCAGAACAGACCTATCCACACGAGTGTGTGTGTATTCATACGAGTGTGTGTTCAGGGGAGATCTTGCCTGTGGAGTTTCTGTACAGAGAGCATGAAGCAGGCCTGGTTGTTACACAGGGTTTTTATTCATTTTGGTCTCTGGTGATGGGACCAAAGGACTGTTAAAAAATACAAACAGACCAGAGGGGACCTAACAATGTGTGTGTGTGTGTGTGTGTGTGTGTGCTTGTCTGTGTGTTCATGTATGTGTTAAGAGGGAAGTGCCAAGAACAAAATGGGAGAAAGAGAGAGTGCACGTACGTCTGCCTGTTTATGTGTTTGGATTTTTGCATATTTGGATTTTCGCGTGTGTGCACATCGTCGCCCCACATTCCCACCCCACCCCCATCCTTTTCTTCGAATAGGATTAGAACGAACGAAGCAGACACCCTACACCCACACATCATGGAACCATAAGGAACCCAAAGGGATTCAGGAACCAATAGGATCGAGTATCGAGAGGATTCAGGAACCAGTGGATTAAGGATTCTGCAATAGAGTTAGGTATTCGGGCATGAGGGAGTCTTGAGACATCACAACCCCAAGGCCAGTACAGATCAAGCCAGAGATCTGTGAGCACTGTCGCAGAGTGCCGTTGCAGGGCCAATTACTTTGGTTTACTCTCCTCCACGCACGTTTTCACACACCTGTCTCTTTCCTCTCAGAGGTCAGGGGGCGGTCTGTGCCTCCTTCCTGTACCTCCTTTCCACTCGTTCTTCTCCTCCTCTTTTTTATCACTTCTGGAGCACACGCTGTCTCTCTGCATATAGCATCATCTTTCCTTTTTCCTCTCATGGAACCTCTCTTCTGGCACATAACAGTAGCACACTCTCTCTTTCTCCTTCTTACGCTATATGCTGCAACCTCTCTCCGTTTTTTCACGTAGCATAGCCTCTCTCTCCCTTTCAATCTTCCTGCCACTGCCCTCCTCCCTTCCTCTTTTAACCTTCTCTCCATCCTCTCCTCCCTCCCTGGCGCTCCCCCATTTTCCGTTAACCTTCTCTCCCTCCCTCTCTCCCTCCTCTCTACCCCTCTGCATTCAGTCTATGCATCTGAGCTCGGCAGACGACACGACACCGGATGAATGTCAATGAATGACTGTTAAGAAAATAGATGCTGTGCTTAGTTTGGGAGTGCAAAAAACATCTTTCAGTGCTTATCTTATGCCTTCTCTCTTTCTTGATCTCTTGAGTTTTTATACTTTTTCTTAACCTTCCTTTTGAGTATCCATGTAACATTGAATTAACATGGATGTATGGAATGGATCTGTGCACAAACACAGAAACAGGCAGGGTTTGAATGTGTTTTTGCAGAAAGGACCTTACCTTTTGGATTGTGAGCAAAACACCCTGTGGTCTTTGACCCCTGACCGACCCTCAGTTCTGGATCACTCTGTGGACGGTCTGAGAATTTTGGATTAGCAGTGGTTCAGCTCTTAACACCTGACTTATCCCTCCACATGGATGGACTGTGTGGAGGGAGGAGGGACCCTTTCATCTCTTGACTCCCAGTCGGCAAACTATCCCTCGGTGCTATTGAGTCGGAGCTCCCCCTGGTGGATGGAAAAGGAAGGAACCACACATCATAACAGAAGAGGGGAAAAAAAACTCCTTCACACATCTCTCTCTTCCCTACAACAGTCCTTCAGGTATTCCATAATCCTGAAAAAAAAAAATGAAGATTTTAAAAATGCATAAATTATCACCATTTATGATGACTAGTCAAGTGACGCTTGTTTTAAATATTTAGTGAATGAAAAAAGATAAACCTATAAAACTCTGTGTTTGTTTGCCTTGTATACTGAATTATGGGCGTATTGTTGCAGCGCCTACTGTGTTTTTTTTTTTCTTCTTTCATCTGCCTTGGTAGTACACACACAAACACAACTTTCTGGCCAAAAAACGTTTATGTTTAATCTGTATCTGATCTGAACAGAAAGGTTTGGAAATCTGATAACTATAAAAACAAATATTTGCCCAAATCTGCATTGATATACAGGTATGCAGTGTGGCGCAACGAAGTGATATTGCCTTATTTTAGAGCAATATCCCTCAGAGCAATCAAATATCTGAGGTCGGGTAACAGAAGTTGGAAGGGAGGGCTGCTAGATCGAGAAAACTACAAAGTAAGATGTGGTGTGTAGACACGTGCATCTAAAAATGGGGGTGTAGAAGGCCAGGCTGTCAGGAAGAATGTATCACGTTTCAGCGCACACATAAGCTGAAAGGATGAACAAACCACAGTGTTGTTTTACTTGTTCCTGTGTAGACAAATAGCAAATATCTTCAACATAGCACATTTGGTTCACAAGTAGAGGTACAAACAAAGAATCACATGGGCATACTGGTAAAAAGGGTGCTATCCCTTTTGTAGGGATACAATCATTTAATATTGAGAAGAACATGTTATGTTTTTTGCAGTTTTTATAAATATTTCTCAGAGGCAGAGTTGCGCCAGGGGCAGAAATAATCTCATTGGTTGGTTTAATCTACAAGGGGTGGAGACAAAGAACCTGCTGAGACACTACTGCCAACTTGGTGCCATATTTTTGCTACTTCGACTAACAACAAACCTCCTGACAATTGGAACAACTGGCCCTCAGTTTGTTTGGTTGATCCCTCTGCTCTACGCAGTATGAGAAAATCTGGTCACAGTAGCTCCTCCCATTGGGGATTTAACGAGCCAATGAGAGTAGCTTAGCCCACAGAGCAGCCCTGCCCCCAAGAAATGTCTGTGGAACTAAATTATCAATCAAGATGTGTTGACAACATATATTGAAAATTACATTTCTATAAAGTGTGAAATATATTGAATATTTAATACATTATCCCTTCTTTAGGAGGACAACTAGGGACGAGAGGAAGGAGGGAAAATGAGGGTGTGGACCAAAAGTTTGCTTCTGCTGAACGTTGGGATTACCACCATCATCTTTCCCTTCACCTCCTCTCTCCCTTTTTCTCAGCTGTCGTGTGACTCAAGAGGAGTAATCATGTTAAAAGCTTTCTCCCTCTCACTCTCTCATTTTCTTCCCTGCAAAGTGATAAAAGGTATGGGAAAGCAAGAAAGTACAGAGCACTGCAATCGCCCGATAATTAATTTGGTTTCATTTCGGGCTCTGCAGATACAGAACAGTCACATAGCAACCTGTTGCTGAGACACATAAATAAAAGCTGTGTAGAAGTAAAGTTGGAGACTTTGAGTTCAGGCGAGGACAATTATCTCTAAAGCCAACAGGAAGATCCCAGTTTATCCGAATAAGCTAAACAAAGCTATGTTAGTGTGAATAATGTGTTTACAGTAACTTGTTAAGTATAATGAATAGAGCTACGAACATGAGACAATATACCGGACCACCATAAACAAATCAAACATTCCTTCAGACTTTAGACTCAAAGTTGACCACAAATCGTTCCAGGATTTGCAAAGGATTTACAAATATAATCTGTCAAAGACAAAAACAGCTACTACACAAATCCAAACTGTTTACCATTTTGTACAGAAATCTACACAGACACAAAAGCTTAAAAATAAAAATATTGGACCACATTTAGCAACTGCAATTTGGCCCAAGAAGAGAACTTGTTTTAACCAAATGTACATCTTTACTGTGGAACGTTACTAAACACGCTGTGACAATTACCTGTGTTAGTTGTGTTGAATCAATGTGTGTGGTATTTCAGGTGAGGGATTGAGCAAATAATTTAGTTACAACAAACTGTTGTCTTTGAAGAATTTATTAGTACTATAGCACAAATCAGCTGGACCAGAGGTTCTGTCTCCTAGGACAGTCACTAACTTCTGGCCCAGAGCAAAGGGCTGCATAATAATTTAATAAATCACACCAAATAATAAAAGGAAAAGGTTAAAGATTTAAAAACAATATAGAAGTCATAATAATAACAAAAAAAAGTACTATTGTAAGTACTTGCCTAAAAGATTATAAAAGAGAAAGAAAAATGTACAATTCTGATTTTTACAATTACAACCGAACATGTAAACTCAACTACAAGTTCTGCTACCCGATGACCTGAACCTGTTACTGGTTCTGCTACCCGATGTGTGTGTTGTGCAAAATTTGGGGCTCTGGTTGGATTCGGTTTGGTTATGTTCAGAAATAATAATAATCAAGCCATCTGCATCCATGCATATCACGTGTTGCAAGTAGATACGCAGCGTCTACTGGGAAGATGGAGAAAGAGAGTGTAGCCAATGCCTTTACATTTACTAATGTATGAAAAAAGCAAAAACTATGCTGTAGCTTTGGGTGTCAAGTCAGGTTCGGGTTTTTGCGCAAAACATGGACATCTTGACTGTAGCTCAGAACAATAAAATAGTACTAAACTCAAAGCCCCAAAACATTAAATTGGAAAAATTATAAATCACCACAACTCTTCTAGTTTCAATGACCTACTCCCTGCAAATCCATGCACGTCAGCAATTTAGTTGAGAACTACATTCTGCAAAAGTACACGCCAAATGTCTATTCCACAGCAAGAGGATAAAATATACATTATTATCACGAGTAACCATGTTGCTACAGTTAAAAAACTTTTTGTTGCTTTGAATGCAACAAACCCAACTCTGATTGAGTTTCACTGACTTGTGATGGGCTACAACAAACCAAGAAAATCACTAATCGGACTAAAGCCTCATTGCCCGAATGTAGCCCTTTTGTAATTAGCTGAAAGTTACAAGTGTCACAAGTTACAAGTCAATAAATACATGGTTTGAAGTGTGGTCCGGCTTTATGAGTGAGTGAAAGAGGGGGAAAAAGAAGAGCAGAGAAAGAAGGTTACTGGTTGCAGATTTGGGCCAAAGAGTATCTTTCATTTGTTTTAGGAGTGCTAGAGGGGTGGGGTTTACAGTGTTTGGCATGCTTTCCATCATGAAAACTGATGTCCTTTGCTGGTAAACCCCACCCTCCTGCCACTCTTAGGCAAAGTAAAACAAACCCCAAAACTCAATTGTTACCCCAGTTCAGGGGCTGTACAGGCAGCTTATAAAGAAACAGAGATGATAATTAGAGAGACATAGAGAAAGACAGACAGAGCTATTGGAATTATTCTATTTTTGTTATTCCCCATTGAAAAAGACATATTTAAAGGAATATTCCGTGTATGTAATGAATATCCTCTGTTTCCCTGCCCCATCCAATGGTGTGATCTGTAGCTGCGAGGTGGCGTCACAGACAAATGCTTCCCTCTGCAGCTATGCAATGCCAATGTGATGAAATTATTATATCAATATAAATAAATTATTTTTCTTGCTTAAAACAGCCCTGAATGTTTTGTTTGTTTACTTTCCCTATGTGGTTTGTGCCGTGGTTCCCTGCTCGTCTTCAAGGTTGCGTTCTGAGTCAGTATTAATGAGTTTCCCTGGAGAGGCTGCAACACTTCTGTTAACTGGGTATTTCTGTCAACACAGTGAAGCACGAGACACCAACTAAAACCTCTTGATCCAAAGTTTAATCATTACTTTTATGTAGGCTGGTTTGTGTCAAAATTACTATGCATGTTCACATAATAGAAGGTACGATGATCAGAAACAGCTCTGATTCCAATAAAACAGTCCAGATATCATATTTGCTTCTAATTAATATAAAACCTTGAACATCCTACTGGACACATTTGGATATTTCATGCTGGTTTATTCTAAGCAGATTTTTATATAGAAATACATCCAGGTTATCAGTTTCAGTGTCAAAATGGGGCTGAAATAGAAAAAAAAGCTTCTCCTGTTTTCTCCTAGTCAGGGCCAGATTAATCTGCTATTGTGCTCCAGGACCAAATGCCACCTCTACAAGATGGGGTTTCAAGATTAGGTAAAAGGGCAGGCGGCCCTTATCGTTAATGTTTATATTGTGCCTTAGTGGTGAAGAAGAGGCTACAATACAAATTAGATATATATCCAATAAACACAGACTGAAATATATTAATGAATTTAAAAATAATTTATATTTTGTGTTTATTGTTAATACCATGTTCCAAACTGTTTACAAGCAATTTGATATATGACTTAATATGAGGTGTGTAGGAATGTTTGAGCGAGACATTTTTGGTTAGTACAACATGGGACTTTAGAAGAAGATACATATATATTACACATTTACTTCCACATACAGACTGCATTCATTGTAACTTATTTTAATGAAAATCATAAAGTGATGCATCAGAAAGGTAAATTGTAATGCAATCATCCCAAAATAACTCCTTGATTCAAAGATTGATAGTATGTAACCAGATTATCGTTGCACATGGTTTAGATTACACCTCAGTTTGCATGCATCTGTTACGGTGGGTGTGGGTTGAGCAGGTTGGAGGACCCAAACGCAGGACGCAAGGCAGAGGAGGTGCGGTTAAAAAGGGGGTTTAAGAGGGAAAACAAACAAAAGGCGAGCACACTTACTGACAGAGTGGCTGGTTAACAGAGTCCAAAAACAAGGTGATTCTAACAGAAATCCAAAGGTACAGGGTGACAAGACAAGCAAGGCTGGTTACAGGAAGGCAGAGAGTACACGCACGACAGACTGAGGGGTAACATGGACAATGACCGAACAAGGGCTGAACAGAAAGACCACACATATATATACCAGGGATAACGAGCAGGGCGGGAGCAACACAGGTGATAGACATTAGGCTAACGAGGGAGGCAGAGAGACAGCAGGAAAACAGAGAGGCAGGCAGGCAGAGACAACAGGGGGTAACAGAGAGAACACTTAGACAAGCAGACATGTGGCACAGTGAATAACCAAGAATGCGACAGAGCTAAATAGAACCAGTAAATGAACAAGGGAATACACAAGACTAAACAGGGAACACAAGACCAGAAGTAAACACAAAAGATATTAACTAACCTACAGGACTAGGAACTAACTGAACAAGACTACACAGAGAAACACAGAACCAAAAACAGATTTAAACAGGAATGACATGAACACAAAAACCCACATTCCTAACAGCATCCTGACGAGAGCCTCACGTTGCATCTCTTTACATTAGGAATGCTGTTGTAGCCCCGGGGAAGATGGTTGATATCACAATAATCAGCTGCGCTCACATCCAAGACAGCGAGTCGCTGTTCACTGCAAAACTAACTGTAATTACCGGTCTTCACTTTATGTGTGTGTGTGTTCTTGATTTGCTATCATTGTAAGGACCAATTAGAGTATTTTGCTTTCTGAGGACATTTTTTGCATCTTCTTCAACTGGCAGTTTTAGGGTTAAGGTAAGAACTATATTTAGGTTAGGGGCGGGGTAGGCATTATGGCCCACCAGGGTCTTCATGAGTGTAGCAGTGTGTCTACAAGTCCAAATGTGTGTGTGTGTGTGTGTGTGTGTGCTTGTGTGCATTCAGGTGGGCTATCAAGTCTTCCACAAAGTGTTTCATGTTCCATCTTTGTAATGACATCCTCTCAGTTAATTACATCCTTCCCATCTAGACACACACGCACACACTCTGTTGTATCACTATATTCTTCTTGGGCTCTGGAGCCATCTAGTGTGTGTTTATTGTTAGTGCGACCTTTTGTGGCAAATGTGAAAATTAAACAAACTACACATAAAATCTTCAAAATCATAAATATAACAAACTGATGAGGTGATACCAGCTCTGATCTGGTTGATTTCACATATTAAAACCCTTGCAGTTGTGAAATACTGGTGCAGAAGAAAGAGAGGAGATCGCTCATAAAAAGGATGTTCTAGCCTGAAACAGCGTGAGACATGGGGCTGAATAACTTTGTCTCTGATTAAATTACAAAGGTTTTTGATCTTTAAACAAGCTCATATGTGACAGTATACTCGACCTGCAAAAAACAATATTGTAAAACAAAATTATTTTTGACAATTCCTGTTTCATTTCTCCACTGACAAAGTGAATCCATATTACATTCACTTACTCATTTATTTGTCAGATAATTTCATTCGAAGCAACAAGATATAATCCAAACCACAGAAGACGCAGCAGACGTCGTCATCGTGAATAAGTGACCTAACAGTTTGCAGGTACACGATGTAAAACAAAAGTATTAATAAATATTTACCATACAAAGTTACAAAGCTAAACACGCATGCTATGAATTTAAAGCAGAATTTGAAGCTAATCCACTTATGTATCAATAGTGGCTGAACTGACTCAAGTAATGTACTAAACTGTACTTTATACTTCTACTGCACTACATCTGAGAGGCATGTAATGTACTTTTTACTCCACTACATTTGTCTGACAGTATTAGTTACTAGTTTCTAGCTACCCTTCCTGTCCAGTGAAAACCATGTGTCAAATTTGAATTTGTCTAATACACTGAAGTGTTGCTTTATGGGCTACTGCTTAAAGGTTTTGTGTATGAGATTTGAAACATTGACAGCAAACAACTATTATTTACAGATATAGTGTGGTAATGGCGTCCTGAGCAGAGAATGATATCACACCCTGTGTGGGTCCCTCCGTGTGAAACTCCGATACAACAGATGTTTCTTTTATAATCTAACGCAGTGAATTAAGGATTTATTTTGACCAAACCACAGTTTGTGGTGAGTTTTATTTTGCTCCTGTCAAGTTTGAATGAAGTGAGTTTTATGATGACCTGCGAGGAAAATTATTGTTATTTTCAATGGAACCTGGTGGCAAGCAAGAGAACTACAACGGCTGTTTCTGGTTAAACAAAAAGGATCTTACTGTTGAAAAAGATCTATCTCGGTATGGATCCTTTCCATAATGCTGTAATAAACAAAAAAGTACAGCAACACCAGAAGCCTGTGGACTAACAAGGCCCCCCCCAGTAGCTACAGACCTGCATGAATGTGCAGCATCATTTCAAACAAAATATTTACACATGGTGTAACAATCCCAAATAAAAATTCAGACCTGAGGACCAAACAGGACTTCCAGGGCCTGTGACACAGCTGTTGAGGTTTTAGCATGTTATTATTCACCAGACTTGAATGACAGAGGTCTGACGAGAGCTTTGCTGGTCGTAATGTTAGTCATTGTGAGCCATTTAGTTGAGGTGACTAATCTTTTCCTTCTCTGACTCTGACAAATGGGACTTGCTGCAATAAAAACACTCAACAATATGTAGAATATTAACTCTATCCCACTGACCATGATATTGTACTTTAATGCCTAAGTATTTAAATCTACTTATATATAGATATTAGGTGATTACAACTTCATAATAAAGTGAAGGGGAAGGTTCTCTCATCAGGGCCAAACTACTAAACTCCACTCTTCCTGTTTCTGACAGCAGAGAGCACGCCATGTTATCTACAACACACACACACACACACACAGAGTGGTGGCCGGGGCTAGCACAGGAAGTACTGACAGCAATCTGCAATCAACACAGAGAGACAGAAAGAACAAGTGAGTAACTTGTCCTGCCGCTTTTCTAGTAAGAGGAAAAAAAAAGAAATACAAATGAAGAAGAGAGCAGAAGTAAAGCCAGGGAGGGGTAAAGAAAACCCCCGCACAGAAACAGGAGATTAAATTGCACTGGAAGGGAAAAAAGAGAGGAAGTGGAACCAAAACAGAAAAAGGGAGGGATGAGGGACTGAAGTCATGCTGGGAGGAGGAAGAGGGGAGGGGGGAGGAGTAACGTCAAGTGCAAGAGAGAAGAAAGAGCAGAGAAGAGAGAGAGAGCAGCAGAGGGAGGAGAACCAGTTATAGTCGTAGACAACCTATGACTTCATTGAGGCTTTTATAAACATCCTGATTATTTGGAGTACCTGCGAGGACGAGGAAGGGCCACACACACATACACACTCCTGACTGATGCTCGTGCTGGATGGACCGACGGCGTTCACCTCCACATTGTCTCATCCACCTCCAGCTGTGCACATAGAAGATTGACCTGTGCGACCAGACATGCATTTCTACTATGTGGTGGGTATCACATGGGCCTGCATGTGTTTGTGTGTTCATGTCTTTGCATGTGTATCCATCTCTGTAACTCTGGCTGATTTTGTCGATTTCACATTTTCTAAATCCAATTCAGCCATGAAATGAATGATGAGGGACAAGACATAAAATTAAAAAGAGCAGCATGCTTGTGGTAATTTAAAGGTCTCCGTTACATGTAGTTATTTTATTATCCATGTTTTTATTGCAGTGTCATTAACTCAGTCCAGCTGAGTGAATATTTACTCATATGAATAATTCTTCAACTTTGCTGTTACACCCAAAGACATAAATCACCTTTTTCTTGGCCTGCGAATACTGTGTATGTCCCACTTTGGATCTGGAATCATTTTGTTTGACAGGTTGAACAATAAACAT